CTGAGGACTACAAGCGGGGCATACAACCAGTGGAAGGGAGGAGCTATCACCAAGGGGGAGTACTCCTTCCTGGCCCGTGAGTGTAGGAGGGCTATTAGGAAGGCGAAGGTAGAGATGGAACTCAGGCTAGTGTCCAGGATTGACAACAAAAAGTCCTTTATCAAGTACATTGGGAGCAAGAAGAGGGCACCAGGCAATGTAGGAGCCCTGCAAGACACAAATGGTCATCTTGTGGCTACGCCAGACAAGAAAGCTGATATTTTTAACAGTTTCTTTGCCTCTGTTTTCTTGAACAGGGACCTGGATATGCCACCTACCAGAGGTAGGGACAACCTGGGGGATAGCTCTGTCAGGCCTTCAGTCAGCGCAGATGTAGTTAGGGATCTTCTGGAAGGGCTAGACATTTTTAAATCTGCAGGTCCAGATGCCTTCCACCCAAGGGTGTTGAGGGAGCTGGCAGGGGTCATTGCGGAGCCCTTGGCCCAGCTGTATAAGCATTTGTGGTCATCTGGCCAGGTGCAGGGGGATTGGAAACTAGCTAACGTGGTCCCAATTTTCAAGAAGGGGAGGAAGGAGGACCCAAGTAACTATAGGCCTGTAAGCCTTCCCTTGGTGCTCGGGAAGATCTTGGAGAGAATCATCAAGGAGCACATCTGTGGGGGGCCTGCAGGGGAGATCATGCTCAGGGGCAATCAGCATGGGTTCATCAAAGGCAGGTCCTGCCTGACCAACCCGATTGCCTTTTATGACCAAGTAACTAAATCCTTGGATGATGGTGTCGCTGTGGATGTAGTCTTTCTAGACTTTAAGAAGGCCTTTGTCTCTCACCCCATCCTCATCAATAAATTAAGCAACTGTGGCATTTATGCCTACACAGTTGGATGGGTAAAAAACTGGCTGATGGGGTGCACCCAGAGAGTAGTGGTGGACGGGTTGTACTCAACCTGGTGAGATGTGAGCAGTAGGGTACCCCAGGGCTCGGTCCTTGGGCCCGCACTGTTTAACATCTTCATCAGTGACTTCGATGAGGGGGTGGAAAGCACGCTGTCCAAGTTTGCTGATGACACTAAGATGTGGGGCAAGGTGGACACACTTGAAGGGAGAGAGAGGCTGCAACTAGATTTAGACAGACTACAAAAGTGGGCAGACGAGAATAGGATG